GTGAGAGCTGAGGGAGGCCTGAGAGCTGCTTCTGGAGCGGTGGGACAAACCCCCTTGGCTATGTGGAGAGATTCTCTCCTGTGGCTGGCTCCCCTGCTGCAAGGTATGATCTGCTGGGGCCCGGTCAACCCTAATGGGGTGGTGGGATAGCTTTCCTGAGCCCTGGGGAGAATGTCCCTCATATGGCTGGCTCACCTGTTCCCAGTCTGGAGCCTCAGAGTGCGGGGGAGATAGTTCCGGCGGCGCCATCTTGGATTTGCCTGAGGCCGCAGAGGCCGCGGGCGCCGTTCGGGTGAAAAAACGGGTTAATTCCCGCGGCGCAGGACCCGTTCACTTCTGTTTCTTCCCCTTCTTCTTCCGGTCACTCATTGCCGGTGATGCCCGGGGGAAAGCCGCTGCTGTCTGCAGTATAGTGTGTCCTTGAGCGGGAGACGAGCCGATTTACGTCTCACCGCTCCATGCGCCAAGCCACGCCCCCCAGATGCAGTGATTAAACACAGCGTTTTTAGACAAAATTCCCTCCTGGGTGTACGATCTCATCTGTAAAATATATCAGCTCCCCTGTTGATGCCGCATGAAGAGAAAAAGCCGTCTCCGTTCCTTGAACAGCGCTCTCACCACCGCTCTCAGGTTTCGTGTGTGGCGGCTTCTCCCGACTTAAATTCAAACTATTCAGCTATAAAAACTCGAAAATTCGTCCGGCCAGAAAAATAAATAGGATCTTTAATGAACAAATGCAGTATATCCCACACGTCAGTCAGATCCGCCCCTTGACGCGTTTCGTCAACTGGCAGATCTGCTCAGTGACTCATTGATTTAAGTTTGAGTTTTTTTCTGAGTGTGGATTACTGTTAAATGGTACTGCAAAACAAGGTTTTTTTTGGTCAGGCTGAAAAAAGACAAATGGTCCTGTAGGATTCTTCCTGCAAAATCCTGCTGTGTTTCCCTCAGGGTGTAGACCGGCCGAGCAGGAGGAACTAAAAAATGAGCAGACAGGGAGAGAAGACTATTCCCTATGTGCAAATGCATTTGCTCCCAGCCCCTTTCAGAACCTGGGAGCAAGTGCATTTGGCTTTGCCCCTACCTGTGTGACCACAGGACCCAAGGAATTCTTAACCCTTCACTGCCATGAAAGGGCAGAACAGAAAAGGCAGCAAAGATAGCAGACACGGTGCCCTAGGTAAAAGGAGTAATTAGGAGAGATTTCCCTACCAACAGAATATGCACCATCAGCCTGAAAACATAACAGTGAGTCTTCTGAGATAGGGTCAGGCTTGTCAACAGATGCAATGGCCCTGGCCATGAAAAGTACTTCTGCAGTGACACCCCAGCCACAAAGGTCTGACACACATAGCAGAGACCAGTACAAGCACGTCTAGGGGTGTCCTGCAGGTAGAAAACACTGCAGGACTGTGGGAGACAATTTACCATGTAAAATCACTGGGAAGTTTGCGCACAATGGCACACTGGAGATGCTCTCCAAGACTAGATAGGTGGAGTGTGAATCTGTCAGGAGCTGATGACTGGAGAGGAAATCTCGAAGTCTTTAACCGCAGAGCTGAGAAAAAGACATCCATCCAACTAAGGACACTAACCTAACACTAACTAGTATATATTCCTTTTAGGTGGCCCTATAACCCTTGTTTACTGAATTAGATTTTGTGTCCCTTTAAAAGATGAAAAAAACATTATTGTATTACTGGGACATATTTGTTTAGCACTTGACTGTAGGCAAGACACACTTGTCTTTGTACTCCTCACCTGGTTGCTGCCACACACGCTTGACACCATCTGAACAAAAAAGTGTATCTTGGTCTCATCAGATCACCACAGGACATGGTTCCAGTAATCCATGTCCTTAGTCTATCAAACTTTCTTGTGCATCATCTTCAGAAGAGGCTTCCTTCTGGGACGACAGCCATGCAGACCAATTTGATGCAGTGAGCGCTGTATGGTCTGAGCACTGACAGGCTGACCCCCCACCCCTTCAACCTCTGCAGCAATGCTGGCAGCACTCATACGTCTATTTCCCAAAGACAGCCACTGGATATGATGCTGAGCACATGCACTCAACTCCTTTGGTCGACCATAGCGAGGCCTGTTCTGAGTGGAACCTGTCCTGTTAAACCGCTGTATTGTCTTGGCCATCGTGCTGCAGCTCAGTTTTAGGGTCTTGGCAATCTTCTTATAGCCTAGGCCATCTTTATGTAGAGCAACAATTCTTTTTTTCCGATCCTCAGAGAGTTCTTTGCCATGAGGTGCCATGTTGAACTTCCAGTGACCAGTATGAGAGAGTGAGAACGATAACACGAAATTTAACACACCTGCTCCCCATTCAAACCTGAGACCCTGTAACACTAACTAGTCACCTGACACCGGGGAGGGAAAATGGCTTATTGGGCCCAATTTGGACATTTTCACTTAGGGGTGTACTCACTTTTGTTGCCAGGGGTTTAGACATTAATGGCTGTGTGTTGAGTTATTTTGAGGGAACAGCAAATGTACACTGATATACAAGCTGTACACTCACTACTTTACATTGTAGCAAAGTGTCATTTCTTCAATGTCGTATACACATATTCTTCAAAATATATACACATATACACACACACACAGGGCTCAAAATTTCAGGTCCTGAGCTACTAGCCAGGAATTAAAAGTTACTCGCCACCAGTTGCCCTGCCTGAACCTACCCCATCCCATCCTATCCTGCCCGTCTCCCCTCCTTTAACATCGCCCTCTCCCACCTTTAATTCCACCATTTTAAAAAAAAGATAAAAATAAACCCACCAGACATGTAAGCCCTCCTCACACTCAATATGGTGTGAATTCCACCCAAATTGATTGAGCCCTATACTTAACTACCGTATATACTCGAAATTCACTCCATAACATACACACACAGCACAACACATGACATATCACAGTCACAAACCATATGATGCACAGTATAACAAACACAAACAGCACAACACACAGGGCATAACACACACACAGCACAACACACGGCACATCACACACGGCACATCACACACACAAAGCACACAGAGCATAACACATACACAGAACAACACACAGGGCATAACACAAACACTCAGCAAAACACACAGTGCACTGGGCATTATACAACCAGCACAACACACACACATTACACATACAGAGACAGCAAAACACACAGGGCATAACATATACACACACAGGGCACCCAGACCCATCTTTATGCCCCCCATCTAATTACTTGCTGGCAGGGGCCTGGCACTTGAGCTTATGCCAGGCCGACTGCATAAGTAGGGACCCTCTAGCGTGTGGTCAGTTATTCCTCCCCTGGACTTCCTGTGTGCATTTCCCTGTTAAAGATGGCTGCATTGTGGTGGCCATCTTTAACATGGACAGGGCACTCAGAGGTGAGCTTTGGCACACAGGAAGCTGCCTCGAACTTCTTCAGGAGTCAAGGACTGAGTACCTGAGTCAGTGAATCAATTTCCACTCGCCCCCATGCAATTTTCACTCATTAATTGCAAGGGGGCGAGTGGAAATTTTGAGCCCTGTATGTAAATAAATATATATATATTTAT